CGTGAARCATATGGCTATTTCCACAGATAAATTTGTTTCATTTTTATACGTGGCCTGGAAATTTCCTAAACCAAAARAGCCACAAAAACGTCCCCTGGAAGCGTGAGATACAAAGAAATTTGACAGTCCGTGGAAGCACAGAAATCAGCACATCATTCCAGTGTCTTGGCTCTAATTGCAAAGCATTGCAACTCTCTAGCTCCATCTGTTGAGACTTTCACATAGTTCAGGGGTCTGCAGGCAACTTTTATGCTTAAAATAGCCACTGTAAAGTGTAAATACAAACAGAATGCAATGATATTCAAATTTCATAGATACATTTTTTTGAAATAGTAAATACATCAAATGTTTAACAAATTGTATCATTTTGGAAGACGTCTTTTTATCAAGCTGGATGGTCTCCTTTTTTGGTGTTAGTGGTTCCCAAGCAGAAGTTGAGGATTTGATTTGTCTKCTCACACAACAGTTCGTCACTTTGCCTCAGTCCATTTTAAATGAGCGTACGTCCTGAGAAGGCAGCAGAGTTTCTGGTTGATGGTGTCCTTTACATAACACAGCTTTAATCAGCATTTATTAGTGTCACTGAGAACTTTATTTACAGACAGTGATTTGTGGAAATGTTTCTGAGTCCATTCAGCAATGTCCACATGGAGTCAGACCGGTTTTTAATGTAGTGATTCTTGGGAACTGAAGAACACGGATATTCAATATCAATATGTCTTTTGCACAAAAATGTCTCCAGACTCCTGAAATCTTTTCACGATATCACAAACTGTAGATTAGGGGTGCCCAAACATTTTCCCTTAGAGGGTCAAAATTAAAATCAATGTGAGGGCCGTGGGCCAAATGCAGTAATATAATACATGAAATGCAAATACTTCTTAAGTAAAGTTGTTTTATTTTTATGAATAAAGCTAGCAGCCAGTGCAGTTGCCCACATTCTTTTTTTTCAGCCCATGGACATGGAGAAAATTCAACGTATGCTCGGGCAGCAAAGGCTCATGGGCCTTTTCATAAATTAAAATTTGAGTATATGTGGTATAAGTGTGGTATGAGTATAATATGTGCGAATCTAGATGTGTGCTTAAATCTCATCTAAATGTCTCTTGTAATTACTTGTGTTTTATGTTTAATCTTAACATATTTCAAAGATAAAGTGAGTACCATGAGTTAAGAGTATCAGCTCTTTGTACGTATAGTTGGACCAATGGCTGAAAAGTGGAAATATAGTGTTTCTACATGGGACAGGAGATTACAATCTAATAAACAGGACAACTGCTGGTGGGCCAAATCAAACGGCTTGGTGGGCCAACTTTGGGCATCTCTGCTATAGATGATTGGATATTCAAATTCTTCTCATTTTTTTATTTATTGACGAACATTATTTAGAAATTTGGTCAACCTCTGCCCATCTGTACTTCTAACTAAAACACATTTTTTTTCCCCTTTACTTATAAAAAGTTAGTTGTTTAGTGAAATTGTAATTTTAATTTTTAAGCAAAAGGATAAAAAACTTAAAAAGAATTACAAAGGGTTAGTTTTAAAAATGAGCTCTCTGAGATAAATRCTGTGGGCTAYGRGGYCCCACAAGGGTCTGTGCTTGGCCCCCTGCTATTCTCTATCTTCTGCCTCTCGTCTTCTTTTGCGTCATTTTAATGTGGCCTTTCATTGTTATGCTGATGATTTGCAACTGTATATGCCTTTTTCACTTGGAACCTGCGCCGATCTATCTAACCTTACAGTCTGCTTAACCGGTATTAGGAATTGGCTATCAGCTAACTTCTTACTCCTTAACGCTGATAACTGATTTTATGGTTATTGGACCTTCAGAACTTCACCACTTGTTCCAAAATCTTAGCTTAAATATTGATGGTCATAACATTATATGCAGGGAAAAAGTCAAGAACCTGGGTGTGCTGTTTGACCCTATGCTCTCCTTTGAGTCTCATCTAAAGGATGTAACAAAGATTGCYTTTTATCACCTCAGGAATATYGCAAAAATTAGACACATACTCTCATTTGAAAATGCAGAGGTCCTCATCCTTGCTTTTGTCATCACGTATCGACTACTGCAATGCTCTTCTCTCTGGGCTTCCAAAGAGAAGTTTTAAAGGTCTGCGGATGGTTCAGAATGCAACTGCTCGTATCCTAACTAAAACAAGGAAATACGATCATATCACTCTGGTGCTGTCATCTCTCCACTGGCTGCYTTGCCATGTTCGTACAGATTTCAAAGTGYTGCTTCTCACCTACAGTGGGGAGAACAAGTATTTGATACACTGTTGATTTTTCAGGTTTTCCCACTTGCAAAGCTTGTAGATGACTGTAATGTTTATCATAGGTACTCTTCAACTGTGAGTGATGGAATCTAAAACAAACATCCAGAAAAATACAATGTATGATTTTTAAATAATTAATTTCCATTTTATTGTGTGAAATAAGTATTTGATACACCAGAAAAATGAAACTTAATATTTGGTACAGAAACCCATCCATCCATCCATCCATC